TATGAACCTATCATGCCCCTGTCGGAGTCTGAATCCAAGGAGGAAGACGAACAGCCGAACAGGGAGTGGGAGTGTGGCTCCATTGGCTGTGGAGGAAACTGGGGAAGGACAAAGTCTGGCTGGGCAGAGCAGGGGAGAGGTAGAACAAGGGAGAGGGGGTTCAGAGAAAGACCTGGGCCCACCCCCTCTTCATCTTAGGGAGGAACGGAGAAGGGAGCAACGTGGGTTGCATGGCTTATGGGGGAGGAAAGGGCCCTGATTCCCTTCATGAGCCACAGCTAGGAATGAGAGTTTAAAAGAGATGCAAGCTGCGTTCGGCAGCTGCTGGGAGCAAACGTGGGTTTATCTTGTGTTGACTTCGGTTATCTGTGTTCCTGGCGTCCTCCCAACTGGGTTGAATTACTGCTGTCCCTTCACGTCTGGAACTCCTTCTTTTGCCTGGCTTGATTAATTACCTCATCTTGCCTTGATTGGACTTATAGTTGCAGTTTTGGTTGACCACGTTTTGGAAATGTGGCTCCAAAAATGGCCTTTTGGGGGGCATTTTTCAGGCTATTTGTTAGGGATACACCCTAGCAGAATCTGCGCGGCAGTCAGGCAGTCAGCCAAAATATGTGAGATAAACGTTTTTGTAGCTTACACTCAGTAAAACAGATACACTGTGCTAGTTAAATGGTTTATTCCAGTAATAGTTTTAGCATAGTCAAAACAGTCCATATATCATTCACTAGTTCAGTCCGTCCAGGGATTATACAATTGCAAAGTCCAGTGTCGAAAAAGAGGTCAGTAAACTTACAAATATCAGTCCAGTAATATATCTTCTTGCAGTAGAGATATGAAGAAGTCAAACCTCCTTTCTTCCTTCAGCAACTCAGCAGTAGGGAAAACACGCAGTTAACAAACCATCAATCCATCAAACCATCAATCATCAGAAATCATCAGCAATCGTCAGGTTCTCTTGCTCCCTCTTATAGTGGTTTCACATTGCACCCAAAATTACATGCTTTGCAGTTTAAAGTGACACACGCTTAAACTTACTATCATAGTTTATATATATTATTTTACCCAAACTACGTTAGGTAACCTTGTTATTCCTAACACTATTTTTGCCATATTTTGGGGCTGTTTTCAGGCCATTTGGGAAGTTGTTTTCTGGCTGTTTTTGGAGCCCCAAACAGCCCAAAACAATGGTCTGAAAATGGCCCCCAAAAGGCCTGGAAACAGCCTGGAAACCAGACTGTTTTTTGGGCGTTGTCAGGCCAGTTTTCAGGCCATTTTCTAGTGCTCCAGCACCCATGAAGACCAGCTGGCCTGGAGCGCATGTGTGCACCAGAAACCAGAAGAGCAGCTGGCAACGGTGCGTGTGCCCACTGAGAGGTTTCTTGCATGCCACCTGTGGCATGTGTGCCATAAGTTCGCCATCACGGGGCTGGTCTCTCTTTGAGTTGCGCCAACAGATCCTGGAAAGCCAGCCCAAGGAAAGCACAGCCAGCTATTCTGGTTCCTAATGATGGCTTCCAAGACCGTGAGATGCCTTTAGAGCAGAGGTGGTCTTCAGCCGGTTCTGACTGGTTCTGGAGAACCAGTAGCGGAAACGTTGAGAGAACCGGCCAATGCCACCTCTGACTGGCCCCACCAACCCCATCTCTTCTCCGCCTCCCATTGAGTCCCAGCTGATTGGCTGGGTCTTCTTTGGTTGCCCTGCACAGGAGAACGGAGCTGGAAAGCAGGTTAATGTTCTGACCCAAACCTTGTTCCAAGGAAACAAACATGAAACAGAGGTAACTGCAAAACTTTTTAATGATTCTTTACAACTTCTGTTCCTTCCTGATTAAAGGGCTGTTTCAAACTAATTGTCTCTGCTAAGAACGAGCCTTGCCAAAGTGGTGCAAGGCTGCCAAGAACACTAGATAAAGTTGCCAAGAAGTATTTCAAACACAAAGAGTCTCCAAACACAAAGAGTCTCCAAACACCAACTAAGATAGTCCGAATGTCCACAAGGCTTGAGTGCAAAAACTTATTTGCTTCCTGCAAAGGACTCCGGTTTCTCAGCTGGCTTTTATCTTCTCAGGGAGGGGCCATTCCCTTGCAGCCTTACTCCCGAGTCACCCATGCTGCTGCAGCTGCTCTTTCCTACGCGTGCTGAGCACGGGCTCCTCGGGGGCCTCTTCCTCACTGCTGCCAGCTTCCACAACCTCCAAAGGCAGCACCCCACTCCCTGATGGTCCTGGCCCCGTCCCTGCCTCACACGCAGGCCCCTCATCCTAGACCTCAGCCGTCCGCACCTGCTGCCGGCGAACCACAACAGTTAGTGGGGTGGGGAGTTAGGGGATGGAGATTTTGCAGTGTCCTTCCCCTCCCGTGGTCATCAAGCCACGCCCGCCAAGCCAAGCCACGCCCACAGAACCGGTAGTAAAAAAATAAATCGAATCTCGCCACCGCTTCAGAGGTAATGAAGAGCCACGAAGCCTGATCCCTGGAAACAGGCTCATGCGTAGGTGGTTCTCTTCCTCCTTAGGTCCAGTTTGAGGCCAGGCAGTCGATGGAGATTCTGGATGACAAAAGGGTGGATGGCTTTCAGCTGCTCTTCATGACCCAGAAGCCGCTTGTCCGGACTTTCGATCACGTGTTTCAGTAGGTTGTTTTCAAAAGGAGGGAGGGAGGGAGGGAGGGAGGGATGGGTTTTGGTTGGTACCAAGGCAGGATGCGGGTTAAAAAAGGGAGTTTGGTCTCTATCCTTCCACCATTTTTTAAAAAACAAACAAACAAAACAAACCTACGTTTCTAGTCCACACTGTTGGAGAAAAGTTTTCGAAGGGCTTGCAGGGTTTGAAAGACGGGGAAGGGAAGCACAGAGTAATTGAAAGGTAGGTAGGTAGGTAGATAGATTAGATGAGAGATAGATATTGATAGAGATGAGAGATAGAAAGCTAAATAAACAGCTAGCTATGAGAGATTAGATAGATGATAGATAGATAGATAGATAGATAGATATGATTGATAGATTAGATGATAGATATTGATAGAGATGAGAGATAGAAAGCTAGATAAACAGCTAGCTATGAAATTAGATAGGTAGATAGATAGATATAGACGATTGATAGATTAGATGATAGATCGATAGATACTGATAGAGATGAGAGATAGAAAGCTAGATAGATAAACAGCTATGAGAGATTAGATAGATGATAGATAGATAGATAGATAGATAGATAGATAGATAGATAAATAGATACTGTAGTTAGAAGCAGAGGAGAGGGAGAGAGATGTTAGAGAGAGAGAGAGAGATAATGTAGTTAAAGGTAGAGGATAGATAGACAGAGGGAGATAGAGTTAAATAGATACTGTAGTTAAAGGTAGACTGTATAGAGAGAGGGGAGGAGGGAGGGAGAGATACTGTACTTAGATGTAGGGGATAGACAGACATAGCTAGACTGGTGAAAGGTATGTAGGTAGGAAGTTAGAGGTGGATGGATGAATATATAGATAAAGATGTCAAGCCTGAAATCGACACATAGGTGGTCATTTTATTTAGCATTATATATTTGTTTTTTGTCTTTCTGTTTGCTGGTTATGGGGGGAGGGGTTTCGGGTTTGCCACATTCTTAATGTGGGAGGAGTGGAGATAGAGTTGTTTAGGCTAGGTGGTTCTTCTTCCCATGGGAACAAAAGCTGACCCTGCTGAGACCTGGAGGTGGAGATTGATGACATCAGAAAATATTGATTTATTTCTATTGGGGAATGTGACTTTTGGGGGCTGTTTCAAACTTCCAATATTATGTGGTGTAATTTCGGGTTGTGTCAGATCCGGAATTACAACAGACTTTGCCAATTTGATGCTTTCCTAAATAAAAGGAATTATTATGGATGAGGGACTTTGCTCTTTTCTTTTTAAATGGGTTTCATCACTTGGAAACCTGACAAAAGAAAGATGAAAAGTACGTTATTAGGAAGATAGAGGTAGATAGGGAGAAAGGTGAAAGATAGGTAGATAGAGATAGGTAGATAGATGGAGATAAATGATAGAGAAATTAAAAGATTGATTACTTTTTGTGTGATGAAAACCACATACTACCTGGGGATTCTGGGAGTTGAAGTCTTTTAAGACTTCTAGAAGACTACAAGGTCTACAGATACAAATCTATAGATCCATAAAAAATACTTTGCTTAACACAGATTTTTAATTTCCTTGCTTGTGAGCCCTCTTGCCTCAAAGCCGCTCATCTGTTTTCCCTCTGAGAGGCTTCATGAGTGTCTCTCACGTGTCTCCTCCTGTCCTTCAGCCTCCGTCATGTCTCCAAACTCCAGACGGCTTGCAAGAAGATGCAGCTGCTCAATGCGTTGATGGACCGGGGCGGGAACTATGTGGCCGCCGTTCTCCCGTTCTTCCTCAGCTTGCTGGAGCGTGGACTGGCCCGGCGGGTGGCGCTCCTGGCTCATCAGTTGCCTCAGACCCAACCGGTAACTTCACCAGAAACTTACTTTCTTTACTTGCTGAAAGAACTTAATGCCCAGGATTGACCCATTTAAGGAACGGTGTGGTCCTTTTAAGACACTGTTTCCCCCCAAAATAAGTCCTACCTCCAAAAATAAGCCCTACCTGATTTTTTAAAGTGTGCACCTAATATAAGTCCTATGTCAGGGCTCTGGCATCCACCCACATTTAAATCATGAGTCTCTAGCCCAGAGTATTAGCCCGGTATGACAGGAAGTGATGAAACGGGCCTATTATTCGGCCTGCAAAGCCTGCAGAGGCTTTTTTTCCCAAGCCTCTGGAAGGCCGAAAAAGGCCTCAAACCAGCTGAAAATCAGCTGTGAGGCGTGTGCATGCGCGGTGAGGTAAGTTTGCCTGCGGCTTGCGTGCCGGCACAAATGGCTCTGAGTGCCACGTGTGGTATGCGTGCCATAGATTCACCATCACGGGAATAGAATAACAGAGTTGGAAGGGACCTTGGAGGTCCTCTAGTCCAACTCCCTGCTTGGGCAGGAAAACCTATAACCAGTGCAGTTATCCAGTTTCTTTCAGTGACGGAGCATTCAGAACTTCTGAAGATAAGTTGTTCCACTGATTAATTGTTAGGGGATTTCTTTTTAGTTCAGGGGTCTTCAAACTTGACAGCTTCAAGACTGGTGGACTTCCAACTCCCAGAATTCCTCCTCCAGTCATGTTAGAGCTCAGGAATTCTGGGAGTTGAAGTCCATAAGTCTTAAACTTGCCAAGTTTGAAGACCCTTGCCTTGGTTAGTTTCTATCCATTGCTTCTTGTCCTGTTTTCAGGTCCTCCCTCCCTCTCTTCTTTACTCTGGTGGCAAGTTGTTCCACTGATTAATTGTTCTCACTGTCAGGAAATTCCTCCTTAGTTCTAAGTTGCTTCTCTGATGAGTTTCCATCCGTTGCTTTTTCTCCTGCCTTCAAATGTTTTGGAGAATAGGTTGACTCCGTCTTCTTTGTGGCAGCCCCTGAGATATTGGCAATGGTTGTAAGGGTGAGGACCAGCTGGGAATCACTGTTTCCAATCCCACGGAAGTTCGAACGGTCACTAAACGAATGGTTGCCATTGAAGGACTACCATGAGGTAGTGTTTAAGGCCACACTTGGAATACCGCATTCAGTTTTTTCTCTCCTCCTGTGTTTTCTTCCAGTGGTCGATTCACCAGGACCCCCCAAAGCACAAAGACATCAGTTCCTTATCCTTCGGACTCTTGCTAAATCTTGATTTTGCCAACAGTGTTTTGGAGCGAGGACCGGAAGCAGATCAAGATGAGGTGAGAACTAGGTCAGGCTGTGGATTTACCATCTCTTCTCTCAGTGTCTGTGGAGATTCTCCGTCCTCCGGGTGCTTTTTTCAAGAGGCAATTGGACTTTCTGGTTTTTCTTTGAAGACGTTTTGCTTCTCATCCAAGAAGCTTCTTCAGATGAGAAGAAGCGACACAGAGCTGAGGAAGCTTTCTTGGAGGAGAAGCAAAACGTCTTCAAAGAAAAACCCAGAAAGTCCAGTTGCCTCTTGAAAAAAAAAACAAAAAAAAGAACCTTTGGGACATCTCTCGTCTCTAGATCAAAATATTCAGCCGGTGCAATATTTGATGTGATGTGTAAGACCCGAATTATTTAATACTCGCAATACAGAGACAGGTCTGGTTCACAATTCGAAGGTTTATTAAAGAAAATACGCATTGGCAAACGGGCCGTCAAGTTCCCTTCCAAAGTGGATTGGGTACAAGAAAAGGAAAACTCCATATTTAAACAATACATTTATACCCCTGCACAGAACACGCCACGCCCAAGAGGCCCTCCGCACGCCCCTTTATTATAAGATAAGCTAAACTATAGGCTTAAGGGTCGACGTGACATTGTTTTCTGTGCCTCGGTGTCTTATCTTGTTTCACTGCTGGGCTTTAACTCCTTGTTTACTTGTTGCTTAGCCCCTGTTTTCCAAGAAGATTGTAACAATGCATCGTGTACTTGTAACTGAACACATTTTGGGTTTTAGGGTGCGGGGTTTTGTATGTAACAGAAAGAGTAAAGAGGAATCTTCTAGCATAACCATGCTTAAACTACATTTAAATCCTATTATAAAGGAGTAACTATATTTTTCCCTCATTTGACCATAATAATTAGGTTATCGTCCTAGAAGGTATTTTTGAAAGAGAGATAGGGGCTTGGGTGGATATTTTGGAGACCTGGCAGCTTAGGAGGATAGAGATGGGAGAAATGGTGTCTGAATGGTGAAGATACAGAGAGAGGAGTATGTATGTATGTATGTATGTATGTATGTATGTAAATATTGTTGTTGTTGTTTTATAAAAAAAGAGCAACTTTTACCCCAAATCAGGCAAAGCAGACAGGCAGATTGAGTTGCTCACAGAATCGCAAATTCACTTAGAGATCTGTGTTTCTGCCATTGGCTAGCTGAGTCTGACCAATGGCAGAAACAAATAAGAATTGAGATGTTAAAATGAACGACAGATGATGGATAGAAAGGAATAATTTTGGTGGTCCGCAGAAAATTTTGGTGGTCCACAGAGAAATGTCACCCCCAGAGCAATCCCCCAAAGCAATTAATCCAAGCTGCACAGGAACACAAGGCTACGCTGACCACATGGCCCATTCTCCCAGCCCGCTCACTTCTTACCTGGCAAACTTGCCTGCTAAGTTGCTATTTTTCCAACCATCAGCTGTTTTGCTGTGCCAGGAGATTTAGATTAGCTAGAAAGCAGGAAATGGTTGGGTTTCTTGCTTTCTAGCTAATCTTTAGATCTTTGGCTCTGCTTTTAAACCTCCCTTAGGACTGAAGCAGTGCAGACTCAGCTAGCCAATGGCAGAAACACAGATCTCTAAGTGAATTTGCGATTCCGTGAGCAACTCAATCTGCCTGTCTGCTTTGCCTGATTTGGGGTAAAAGTTGCTCTTTTTTTAATAAAACAACAACAATATTTACATACATGGTCTGTTGTGAGTTAATTTTGTTTGCTTGCAAGCAAATTTTAGACTCAGGTAGCCGATGGCAGATAGATAGATAGATAGATAGATAGATAGATAGATAGATAGATAGATAGATAGCAGATAGATAGCAGATAGATAGATAGATAGATAGATAGATAGATAGATAGATGATAGATAGATAGATAGATAGATCTCTGAATGATTCTGTGAGCAACTCAATCTGCCTGTCTGCTTTGCCTGATTTTGGATAAAAGTTGCTCTTTTTTAAATAAAAAATTCAATATTTATATAAATATTTATAATATTTACATACAAACCATGCCCAGCCAATCACATGACCACTAAGCCACGCCCATAAATTAGGCCATGCCCACAGAACCGGTTGTTAAGAAATTTGAATCCCACCCCTGCCTGTGAGTGTGAGTGTGAGAGAGAGAGAGAGAGGGGTGGGGTGGGAGAGAGAGGTTAGATCAGATCTCTCTCTCTCTCTCTCTCTCTCTCTCTCTCTCTCTCTCTCTCTCTCTCCCATCAACGTCAGCAAGCCACCTTCAGTCAAAATTCATATTAGTGGTCCCTGGGATTTAAAATGAGGAGCTTGGTGGTCCCTGAGGTCCAAAAGGTTGGAGACTGCTGGACTAGAAGACCTCTTAAGGTCCCTTCCAATTCTGTTATTCTGCTATAGTCCCCGTGGAATCTCTAATTGTTAAAATACTTGAGTTGCCTTATAGTTGTCGAAAGGTAATACAAGGGGAAAAGGGGAGGAAAATAACCTCTCCGACATCTTGTTCCTGTAGGCCATGGAGTTTCGGCAATTTTGGGGCGAGCGGTCGGAGCTGAGGCGTTTCCAAGATGGCGTCATCTGCGAAGCCGTTTTGTGGGACGCTGCCAACCTGTGCCAGAAACGACTTATTCCGGAGCAAATCATACGTCATATCTTAAAGCTGTGAGTAACTAGAATAGCTCTTACCACGTGAAAGAACGTGAGGATGGGGGCGGGGGACTTATTTTGTCAGGAACGTCTTGGCTTCTCACTTCGATTCCAGCCATTTGGAAATCTGAGGGGTCCTTGGTGGTCTCTGAGCTTGCTTGTTATGTGTGGTGGGGAGGAGGAGGAGGAGGCAGGAAGAGGACTGTAAGGTCCTTGATGCTCTCTGAGCTTGGTGGTTTTCCTGTAGACATCTTACGACCCAACTGAATGACATCATCAGTGCGAGAAGGAAGTGGTGTGTGGGAGGGAGGAGGAGGAGGACCGCAAGGTCCTTGTTGCTCTCTGAGCTTGGCTTGTTTTCTTGCAGACATTTCATGACCCAACTAGGTAACATCATCAGTGCTAGAAGGGTGTGGCGTTTGGGAGGAGGAGGAGGAGGAATGTGGGGTCCTTGTTGCTCTCTGAGCTTGGCTTGTTTTCTTGCAGACATTTCATGACCCAACTAGGTAACACCATCAGTGCTGGTGGGTGGGGGAGTTGCTTGGCATTTATATACTAATAACTTATCCTGTCGGTGTTGCTGGGAGTGTTCTTTGTGGTGCCTCGACCAGGCTGTTGTGTACTGCTTGATCGTTGTCTAACATTTATCAAGAGAGATACCAATGGAAAAAAAAATATTTGTAGCCCAGAGTTGAATTGTGAGGTCCTTGGTGCTCTCTGAGTTTCGCTTGCAGACATTTCATTACCCAACTAGGCCATGTCATCAGTACACAGCCAAGCTCAAGAGGGACCAAACATCCTACAGACCTCTTTTATCTCCTTGAAATTGCAGCAGAAGTTCACTCTATCCCCCCATTATTCTAAACCATGGCTAGTTTTTACCACTGTTTACTGAAAAAGCATCAATGATCATAGCGCATAGCGTTAAACCTTGGTTTACAAGCCATCTTGGCTGGTTTTAGATGTCGCACCGAGCTGGTGATATCTTGGTTTAGGGTGATGCCTGAATGGAACCCGAATTCTTACATTTTTAAATTGTATAGAGATTATTGTATGGTCTGTTGTGTTTAATTTTATTTTTCTTTCAATGGTGTTGTCCAGTTTTACTTGTGGAAGAGCACCTCATTTCGTTGCACCCGCTTGCGAGTGTAATGACAAATAAATTCTTATGTCTTATGTCTTTAAGGGAGGCAGAAAGAACGCAAAGTGACTTTGAAGAAGAGATATTTATAATTCTTGGTCTTCTTTGTTTTCTCTTCTTTCCAGGCACCTGGACATCCCAGAAACTTCCATCTCTTATGTGGGGGCCCTGCTGGAACCCCTAATTAAACTGGGGCACGAGGTGAGGTCCCTTTCCACCTTATTCCTTGTCTTCTTCCTTGCCATCCCTGAATGTCTCGAGATATTTTGTTGTTCTGACCTAGGCTTCTCCATCATCACGAAGCCGACTCCTCGTCCCGATAAAACCCTTTTTATTTAATTTACAATGAATTTCCTCTCCCAACAAAGTCTCGGCCAACAGTCTTTCAAGAGATTTCGCAATTACAGACTATTATCAGGCTTGGAGAGCTGCCAGGCCGATATCTTTCCGTTGCCACACTGTCACAGGCAATATTTAGCAAGAATGCAAGGACAGATCTTCACCCAAATGAAATAATTGTCTCCTGCAAAACCTCGTTCCCCCTTTGCTCCTTTTTTATTCCGTATGAGAGGGGCTATTCACCGTCCACCTGTGGCATTACTCCCAAGTCGGCCCTTGTTCCTGAGCTGTTCTCTTCTGACAGCTCTACGCATGCGCACACTGGGAACAGGCTCCAGCTGTTCTTCATCCCCACTGATCTCCGACTCCAAAGGCAGCTGATAACTGTCGGGCGGCCCTGGCCCGATCTCTGCCTCCGACGCAGAGCCCTCGTCCGAGCCGTCCCCAGACTCCAGGATTGGCCCAGGTTCCTCCCCAACCTCCTCACTGTCCGAATCTACCGTCAGCTCCGCCACAACAGTTTGCCTGAGGAGATTCTCTTGTCCTTTCCACACTGGGATGGTCTAGGAAGAAAAATAACCCCATAAAATAACTCTCTAAACCAAGACGGAAACACTTAATCTCCCTCTACCCCCAGCCTCATGCATTGTACATTTCAAGAGTCCCACCCAAAGACTCTCCTTAAAAGAACCTTTCTTCATTTTGGGGCGGCAGGGGGGCTCCCCTGTGTCCTTTAGAAAGACAGAATGAGAGAATTTTAGTACTGAAGCTATTCTGGGGGTCCTTGGTGCTCTCTGAGCTTGGTGGTTTTCCCGCAGACGTTTCATGACCCAACTAGGTAACATCATCAGTGCTAGAAAGGTTTGCAGGGAGGAGGAAGAGAAAGACTGTGGGGTCCTTGGTGCTCTCTCAGCTTGTTGGTTTTCTTGCAGACGTTTCATGACCCAACTGTGTAATATCATCAATGCTAGCAAGGAATGGGGTTTGGAGGGAGGAGATGGAGGAGGAGAAGGTTTTTGGTGCTTTCTGAGCTGGGTGGTTTTCTTGCAGACGTTTCATGACCTAAGTAGATAACAACATCAGCGCTAAAGCGAGGGAGGGGTTGCTCTGTTTATAGACAAGTGGATTGGCTAGAATATTTGTAGTTCAGGGTTCAAGTATGTGGTCCTTGGTGCTCTCTGAGCTTGACAGTTTTCTTGCAGACGTTTCGTTACCTAACCGGCTAACATCATCAGTGCTGTAAGGGAGGGGGGGAATTGCTCTGTTTAAATACAGGCGGCTTGCTCTTGTGTTGGTGGGAGTGTGGTTTTCTTTCTGTTCTTTACAAAGACAGGATGCCTGTATACCAAGGGCTCTTCAAACTTGGTAAGTTTTAGACTTGTGGACTTCCAACTCCCAGAATTCCTCAGCTCTAACACGACTGGAGGAGGAATTCTGGGAGTTGAAGTCCACAAGTCTTCAAGCTGTCAAGTTTGAAGAGCCCTGTTGTATATAAACAGGGAGGGAAAAAAACCCTTTTAGCACTGAAGAGGTTATCTATTTGGGCAATTAAATGTCTGCAAGAAAACAGCCAAGCTCAGAGAGCACCAAGGACCCCACAATTCTCTTCCTCCTCGCTCCTTCCTCCTCCTGCTTCCTTTTCCTCTTCCTTTAACTCCTCCTTTTCTCCCTCCTCCCTCCCCCTCCTTCTCCTTTTCCTCCTTCCTCCTCCTCCTCCCTCCTCCTCCTCCCTCCTTTTCCTCCTCCCTCCTCTTCCTTCTGCCTCCTCCTCCTTCCTCCCCTCCTCCTTTTCCTTCTCCTCCTCCCCCCTCTCCTCCTCCTTTTCCTCCTCCTCCTCCCCCCTCTCCTCCTCCTTTTCCTCCTCCTCCTTCTAGAAGGCCACTCCCTTCTAGTGCTGATGATGTTACCTAGTTGGGTCATGAAACGTCTGCAAGAAAATGTCTGCAAGAAAACCTGATGGTGTTACCTAGTTGGGTCATGAAATGTCTGCAAGAAAACCTCCTCCTCTTCTTCCTTCCTTCCTTCCTTCCTTCCTTCCTTCCTTCCTTCCTTCCTTCCTTCCTTCCTCCTCGCAAACTCCCCTCCCTTCTAGCGCTGATGATGTTACCTAGTTGGGCCATGAAACGTCTGCAAGAAAACTACCAAACTTAAAGAGAGCAGCAAGCTGGTTCATGAAATGTCTGCAAGGAAACAACCAAGCACCGAGAGCACCAAGGACCCCACGGTTGTCCTCCTCCTCTTCCTCCTCTCTCTACAGACCCCACTCCCTTACCACACTGATGTTGTTACCTGGTTAGGTAGTGAAACATCTGCAAGGGAACAACCCAGCTCGACAGAGGGCAACATTTTTTACATTTACTATTTGTTAAATTTATATGACGCTGCAACGTTGCGGTTTAGCCCTTAAAAGGGGCGTGTTGACTTCTCAGCCCCTCCCTCCTCCTTCACCAAAAAAAGCCCCCTTTTCCTTTGCTATTCCTTTTTCCTCCTGATCTGGGAACGCGGGTGTTGAAGCGCTGACGGAAATGACTTTGCGCTGTTAATGCGTGTTGGCCCCGCTGGTCTTTCCTGGGGTGCCCACAGCCTGCAGGGACTGGTGAGGAAGAGATGGTCGGCCTGATCCGCTCCTACGACGACCTGAGCCGCAAGCTCTGGCACCTGGAGGGGATGCCCTTGACGGTGACGGCGGTACAAGGGGCTCACCCAGCCCTCCGCTACACGGAGGTGAGTTAAGCGCCATGAACGGAAGGTGCTGGGAGGGGGGTGGCCACCCATGTAAGACGCCTTTGGGTGGGGGTTCAGGTAGTTCTTGACTTACGATCCCAAGTGAGCCCCAGATTTCCACTGCTAAGTGAGACAGTTGCTAAGGGGAATTTGTCCTGTTTTACAATCTTTCTTGCCACAGTTGCTAAGATAATTAGACTAGACCAGACTAGACAAGACTAGACTAGAATACAATAGAATAGAATAGAAATATTGGAATGAAGAAAAGAACAGAATAGAATATGAATTAAGAATGGAATGGAATGGAATGGAATGGAATGGAATGGAATGGAATAGAATAGAATAGAATAGAATAGAATAGAATAGAATAGAATAGAATAGAATAGAATAATGGAATGGAATGGAGTGGAATGGAATGGAATAGGAATAGGAATGGAATAGAATAGAATAGAATAGAATAGAATAGAATAGAATAGAATAGAACAGAACAGAACAGAACAGAACAGAACAGAACAGAATAGAATAGAATAGAATAGGAATGGAATAGGAATGGAATAGGATTAGGAATGGAATGGAATGGAATAGGAATAGAATAGAATAGAATAGAATACAATAGGAATAGGAATGGAATGGAATAGGATTAGGATTAGGAATGGAATGGAATGGAATAGAATAGAATAGAATAGAATAAGAATAAGAATAAGAATAAGAATTGGAATAGAATTGGAATAGAATTAGAATAGGGGTAGGAACAGAAAGGAACAGAATATGAATTAGGAATAGAATAGAGTAGAATAGAATAGAGATTAGAATAAAATAGAGTAGAATAGAAAATAGAATAGAATAGAGTAGAATAGAGATTAGAATAAAGTAGAACAGCATAGAATAGAACAGAATAGAATATAGGAATGAAGAATAGAATAGAATCAGGGGTGGGATTCAACTTGTGTTACTACCAGTTCCCTGACTATGTTTTGCGTGCGCACCGGACAGCTGAAAAGCGCTGCGCGCAGAGTGTACAGCGTTCGAAAAGCCTCTTTTTTTTCCTGCTTTTTCAACCTCAGCTGTGCCCCGCAAAGCAGCTGAGGTTGAAAAAGCAGGAAATCAAGGACAGGTAAGAACCCGGGCGGGCAGGTGGGCTAAACCGCAGCAAACACAGAACGCATGCCCTAGATTTGCCATCACGGCTCTAGAAAGAGGGCAGAGAAGGGCAACAGAAAGGATTAGGGGACTGGAGTCTAAAACATATAAAGAATGGCTGCTGGAATCAGGTATGTTTAGTTTAATGAAAAGGGGGACTAGGGATGACATGGAAGCAGTCTTCCAATATTTATTGGGTTGCCACAAGGAAGAGAGAGTCAACCTATTCTCCGAAGCACCTGAAGGCAGGACAAGAAGCAACGGATGGAAACTCATCGAGGAGAGAAGCAACCTAGAACTAAGGAGGAATTTCCTGACAGTTAGAACAATTAACCAGCGGAACAGGCTTGCCACCAGACGTTATGGGAGCTTCATCACCGGAGGCTTTCGAAAAGAAATGGGACAACCATTTGTCTGAAATGGTGTCTAGGGCAGCGATGGCGAACCTTTTTGTTGTTGGAAACTCATCAAGGGGAGAAGGAACGTAGAAATAAGGAGGAATTTCCTATCGGTGAGAATAATTGATCAGTGGAACAACTTGTCTCCAGAAGTTGTGGGTGGTCCATCACTGAAGGTTTGTAAAGACTGGACAGCCACCTGTCTGAAATGCTGTAGGATCTCCTGCCTAAGCAGAGGGTTGGACTAAACCAGGGGTCCCCAACTTTTTGGACCTCAGGGACCCCCAAAAGCATCATTTTAAATCTCGTGGACCAGAGACCCTGGGGAAATCCCCCCCAAAGTCCGCAGGAAAATCCCCCACCCCCGTTTTCCTACCAGTTGATCATTCTTTATTTGGGATGGCAGGATACCGTCTCCAGCTTTGTTCTGGCGGGGAGAGACTTTTGGCTTCATGCAAGGAAAGCAGCAGAAGCTGCAGAAGTCTTTCTGTCTCTCCCCCAAACTCCGCCAGAAACGAGTCTTTGCTGGCGTAGCCTCTTGGAGCAGGAGGCCTTGCAGGGTCATTTTTGGAGGAGAGAAAGAAAGACTTTGGCTGCTTTCCTTGTGTGCAGCCAAAAGCAGAAGAAGAAAGAAGTGGGAAGAAGCAGCCCGGTGGCCAGGCCAGGTGTGTGAGGTGAGTGGGGCAAGTTTCCCCCCTCCACCCTTTCTCCCTCCCCTCACTACCTCGTGTTGTGTACAATGCAAGCAACACAAGCCTTGTGTTCCCGTGCAGCCTGGATTAATTGTTTTGGGGCGGACATTTCTTTGCGGACCACCAGTGGTCCCCAGCCCCTGGTGACCCCTGCACTAGAAGACCTCCAAAGTCCCTTCCAACTCTGTTTTCTATTCCATAATGTGGAAACGTCTCTATCCATTATTTGAGTGATTTTTAGAAGTTTTCTCCACTGCCTACTTCCCCCCAAAACTTTTGTTCTTGGTTTGGCAAAAATATATGTATATTTTCTGATTCTTTTCTAGACTTTTCCTCCAGTCCCTGTGAAACCAGATTATACCTTCCATGGCAAGATCAAAGACCGGGCATCCTTTCTCCCCATGGCGGGAAAGCCGTGTCCCGCTTTCGTGGCCCCAATAAAAGGCAAGGATTTATCACCGGGACGGGTGGGAAAGAAATCCCAGTCTTTCTTGGGTTGAGTTCCAGTAAGTTTTGAAAACGGATGACTTTTCTGGGTTTGAAGATCCTGGAAGCCAAGGAGTTGATTGAAGGTGGCCAAGTAGCCTTTGGGATCAGAGGTTCAGAAAGAGAATACCTACTTTCTTTCATCCTAGTTTTCAGCTCGTGGGTTAATAATCCCACGTTACAGGAACATGGATTCAAGTTGAACGTTAGAAAAATTATCTCAAGACAAGAATGGTTTGACCCTCAACATCTAATTATCTAGGGAGGTAAAATTATCCAAAGATAAGGACGTTGACACTCAACGTCTAGAATTGATAGAGCTAAAATTATCTAAGGATAAGGATGTTTTGATCCTCAACGCCTATTATCCAGAGAGATTATGGGAGCTGGGTGGGTTAATTTGAGTTGCTTTGATTTGGATTCCTGTGTTGAACAAAGAGTTGGACTTTGAGGCCTCTTCTGACTCTGCAGGTTTGATAAGAAGTTACCTAGCTCAGCTTTTTCATCACGTAGTTACCGTTGTTGAGTAGACACTGGTCCTGGGTGTGCGTTTCTCAGTTTTTGGGTTGATGTTGAAAAATAGAGTAGAGTAGAATTAGAAATACAATAGGATGGAATGGAATAGAACGTATAGAATAGGAATAGGAATAGGAATAAAAATAGAGTAGAGTAGAGTAGAGTAGAATAGAATAGAATAGAATAGAATAGAATAGAATAGAATAGAATA